AAAGCTTCCAGTCGCCATGTTCTCGCTACCCAAAAGGCTTTCGACCTCTTTTGGCATAATTGGAGATGATCCCAAACTCGCATTTCGTACTCAGCCTTCAGGGATTCGGAGACTCGCAGAAGTTCGGGTGTGTTGGTGGTGACGCTGATTGTAATATCGACTGGGCACTGACGCGCCCCTCGTAGAACATTCCCCCCACTGATGACAAGTACTGGTCTCAAGTAAGAACACGCCTTTCACGTTTTCATCTACCTATAGAATTAAACCTGAATTGTTTTCTACAGTTCGTCGAGCTATTCGACTCGGCGTCCGACGCCTACTCCCTCATCTCGTCCAACGACAGTACGTTCAAGACCAGCACATTTTGGGGTTTAGTTGCTAATCAAAGTCTATGGAAATAGTTAGGAAAGCACTGAACGAAGCGCCAGAAAATCTCAAGACTCTTACAGATGTCATCTCTGCGCGGCTTTTCCGTACAATAGGCGACCATACCTTCCCCTCTCCACCGCAATCGTCCTTCACTCCTGTGGCGAATATCGCCGCAACTTGGGCGTCTGTATCTGGCTCCTCAGCTCGAGACAGCACTAAGGAACTCTTGAACTGTCTCCGAGTCCTTGGCCGTATCATTCCCGTCCTTTACGAGAGTGAGGGTCCGCTGGAGGAGGAGATCTTGTGGAAGCGGAAGAAGAAACAAGCTCCTCACGACCCTGCGTCAGGAGAACAAGAGCCGCAGTTCGTTATTCAAGAAGAAGAAGAGAGCGATGAAGACGAAGATGGCGAAGACGATGAAGATGACGAAGAGGACGAAGACGGGGACGACGATGCCCCAGGAGCCGCGACTCCAACTCGCCCCTCGGTCGTCATTAACGAAGAGGAGTTGGAACCAGCGCTTGCGGACAAACTTCTGTCCACAGCAATAGACTTGATGTTCTGCTGTGGTTTCACGATTCCTTCGAAGTTCAAAGTCGATAGTCATAAGATCAACTACACCATCTGGTAAGCGCCGGGCCTCGGGTTCCTGGCCTCCCGCTGATCGTCGGACTGGTTTTCAGGGAGAAGGGTATTGGCTCGACTGTGGAAGTGACCTCTACAAGCCAGCTTGATGCAAACAAAGTCGAGGTCCTGCGGTTCCTCGAGATTCTTCTGTCCAAAACCATATACATGTCGCCTTCTCATGTTCTGCTCCTCACCAACCCTTACATCTCTCGACTCGTCCACAACCATCGAACTCCCCGAAGACTTGTCCTTCCCATCCTCTGCTCGCTTCTCAACACGGCCATGAACAGCGGCTCCTTGAAAATCCCAACGATCCTCGCACCAAGCGTAGGAGGAGTTATCAACGGTGTTGGGGACATGGTCAAGGACTTACCTTATAATCACCTGGTCTGGAGGGAAGACAGTCGACCACACCTAGTCAGTGGTGCGTTGGGGGTTTTGGTCGCTCTTTTGGACTATCAATCGGCCGAAGGACGTGATCTTCCAGTGACCGGTGGAAGCGCACCCCCGGTAGCGACACCCCCCAGCGTCCCGGGTGGTATCGTAGACGTTGCCGTCGCCCCGACGGCAGTGACCAACTCGTTCCGCTACTTTTTGGCAAAGCTGGTTCGTCTTCTCGATTTCTGACACATGTCTGCAAGCATGCTAACCGCGGAGGGGCGATTCTGCTACAGCACCGGCCAGCTGACCTCGACTATATTCTGAACGGAATCCTTGGTATCCTTGAACAGCACATGACAGCGACACACAACGTACTTCCTGGTTCGCGGAAGGGCGTTCCCTACGTTCTTGAAACTTGTGAGCATGAGCTGCATTACCCTGGAATCGGGCAAACGGACTCACGTTCCCCTAGTCTTATTTTTCTGGAAAATGGTTGAATTGAACAAAGTAAGATACCGATATCCTCTGTCACGACCTATTCGAGCTCATCCCATAACTCCGCAGAAATTCAGAACACATCTCACAGAGTCCGACAAGCTCGTGGACGTTCTCGTCTACCTGCTACTGTTTTGCCTGGAGCATAAAGACAAGCCTCGTATGC